CATTTCAACCTCCAGAACTGTGAGACAATAAATGTCCGTTGTTTTACGCCATCCAGCTTGCCATACTTTGTTAGGGAAACACTAGGAAACTAATTGTCACAAATACCTCTAATACTGCTTTGGTTTGTTGGAATTTTCAATCAATGTAAACAAGTTTCAGTTAGAGATTATTAAAAACATTCTCAATTCTAAGAACCCTATGTCTAAAGCAATTTAACACTTCAGTCAAAGATCCATTACTAATAAACTATGTTTTATCAAAAATAGTGTACTAATTTTAAACAAAAAGCTATCAGTAGTTTTTTTATTTTTGTTTTTTTCATTTCAAACCATTCTGAGTGCCACAAAAACACCACTTTGGGGATCTGTAATGACTTTGGTTTTGGACTCTAAAATGAGATGTAGCTATGACACAAAACATTTCAAATTTTATCTAAATTTGAAAATTAAATCTAAATAAGAAAGAAAAAATTTCACTATCTGCATTAACTTCTTAAACTAATTAAAGTAAAATTTACCCCTTGGTGCTAGATTACTATGACTTGCATGAACAACAACAAAAAGACTTACTTTTGACACTTCTTAGCCAGTAAGTTAAGAATGAGGGCTGCTATCTTGTAAGTATATTCCTCTTAGAAGGACTCAAGTTGGTATTCAAACCCAATATACTTTTGCTCACTTACTCATCCAGAGGCCATATTAAAAAAAAAAAGCACTATGAAGTTCTCCATCTGTGAAGTATATATATTATCAAAGACACATGGCATTAGGCCCAAGATAAGAAAAATCTTAGAAGATTATAAATATACCAATTGTTTCCAAATGTTTTATCTTCATTCTTCAAATTCATGCTTTTACTTCATCATACAACCAGATCTCTACTGGAAGCCTTTCATTTGCTTAAATATGTCAAAACAACAAAATAATAAAATTAACAAGTATGTATGTTACAAGTCCAGTGACTTGCAATTTGTCTATTACTGTATTACTTTAAGGTAATTTGGCACAGGAAAGGCACATAATGATGTTTAGTTCAAACTGCTTCATTTACGACTGAGCAGACTTGAGGCCCACAGAGGCTAACATTTGCCCAGAATCACAGAATATATTAGTGAAAGCTAGGACAGAAATGTATCTCCCAATTCCAAGCCCAACATTCTTTACATATTATCCCATACTGCATAAAAGTTGGTAAGAGTTATATCATCTGCAAACGTCTTCTATATGATCACTTTAATTCTATTTAAAACACAGTATTTAAGAACAGTCCTGTTGCCCCAAAACAACCTACCAAGTTGTTTCTTTAACAATTTTATTTTACTACCCAGCACATTTTAAAAATAGGAATACGATTTCATCTCTACCTTCAAAACTGGCAATTAATGTTTAAAAGAGAATTGGACAGACATTTCAAGGTATTAGCACTCTCACATACTGAGTTTTTCTTTTCTAAATAGCAATTTAGCAGAAAGAATAAAACAATTTAAAAATTGCACCTCTTTTAATTCTATTCCTAGACTATCTCTAGGAAAAAATAATAGGTTTGGATGAAGACAGAACTCAGGATCAAATGCAGCATTGTTTAGAAATAACAAAAATATCTAACAACAATAGACTGATTAAAACTAATGTGTGTTACACACTGACTATAATGGAACCATTAAAAATTATGTTCTAGGAAATATTTAATGACATAGGAAAGCAGTCACAATATATTGAGTTATGGTAATATCTACTATGCAATTCCATTCTGTTGAGAATATATGTGTATACATATATATAAAAACTATATAAAAATGTGCTTATCACATGTGCTAGGCACACAGCAAATATCCGATAAAAGGATTTGATTCATCATCCACATCATAGGAAAGGAAAGGTTCGATTACATATAAAATGTTAAGAGTTGTTATCTGAGTGGCAGAAGAGCAAATTAATTATTATTACTTATTCACTTTAAAGATCATTTTATACATTATCTGAAATAAACTATTCCTCTTGCATGGAAGGAATTTTTTTTAATGGCACTTTTAAGGTAGTTCCAGGTCTTACTGATGGCTGGAAAAGAAAAGCTAACTTTCACCAATCCTTCCCCATATTTGGCATCACATAAAACAAAGTCATACACATAATAGCTCCTTCACATATTCTTGATTAAACATGTACTCCTCAATCTCTGAGAGCTATGTATCCTTCCACAGAGAACGTTATTTTCAAATAACAGAGCATTTAGCTAGAGGATTTCAAAATGAGGCCTCTAAAGGCCTTACTGGATTTTACATCTATCTAGAAAAGGATACAGTTTCCCAAGGTACTGGTAATGTGCACTTCTTTAAAAGATTGAAATCAAGTGAGGAAACAGTCTTGAGTGTTAAGAACAGTTTCCACTGTAATTAAATTCCTAATGATTGTGGCATTAAAAAAGTAGAAGAGAAAAAGGTAAAAATATATGTAAGGCCCAAATAGAATCCCTATTACAGGACAGTTTTTTAAACTATGCTAAGGCTTTAAAGGATGTCTTCTATATTTTATCTCTTTTGTTTCTTCATAATATATGATTATAAGTAGTAAACTACGACTTTGAAACATTATATATTAAAAATGATGTGTTTTCAGAATAAAAGCTACAGTCAAGTAAGTTCATTCTTTGTAAACTTCGTCATTTGGCTAACACACCAACAATTGTGGCTCTAATAAAAATGATTACTAAAGATACAACTTTCTAGAATAAAAAAATTTTAATTAAAACCTCAAGAGTTTGCACCATTTAGAGTTAATATCTCATCAAAATATTACATATGCAAAACATATTATTCTTGTCCTACCAAAACAAAACCCCTAAAGAATAACTTATTAATAAAGCAGGATACATTTATGAAAACAATTCTAAGAGTCTGCAGTGAGGTAATTTTCAAGTTGTTCCATATAAGCACATTTCAAATGGGGTGGGGGAGCAATCCTCCCACTAATAACTGTCATTTGGTGGTTCAGGTATCACATTTGGGATTAAACCACTGGGAATATTTACTCATTTTTCGTGTAACACCGGTATTATCCACTGATACCACTACAACAAAAACCAGAATTTTCAATTTGTCCATGGCAAGTAGTACAAAAAGATCCCATTTGTAAACATATTTTATTGTGTCAATTCATATTCCTTCATTTGTTTTTGTTAGCTGCACCCAAAAATAAGGTATTCAGTATTTTACTTTAAATACTGTAATCGGTCTTTTCCCATAGCTAAAATGGAACTTGACTTTTTGATTTAGGCTATTTTCTTAAAAGATAACCAGAAAAAACTATCATCATCTCGTTCAGAATTTTTAGCAATTTTCCTCCTAACTAAGCGTTATCTGAAATACTTCTTGATCTCTCAAAGTAGGTCTAATCTGAGGAAGGCAGCGAGACAGTGTACAGCACTGTGAATGGACAGCCAGGTATTTTATGAATGGAGGCGATCACGTGATCCCAGCACCTCCCCGAACTGATATTTCCCACATAACTGTGTCAACATTCTGAGAATAGGGGTAGTTGTTTGTGTGTGCTTTATGTTTTTGAATTTTGCCCATAACTTAGAATTCTCCTTACTTTCTTAACTCAAAGTCTACACGACAACAGACAGTCAAGCTTCGAATTTTTTTCTTGGGAAATCCTTTCAACATGTCCAAGGTGATGGATGTTTAATTATTTTTTATGAATGAAGAGTGTGCTATGCAAATGAGGGCGATTCACAAAAAGAGAGAGAACATGGCGGCCACTTCTGCTTCCACACTGCACTGACACTGCAGCAATCTACCTTCTCCCACACCCGCTCTTAGGAAGAGTGTGTTGTGGAGAGGTGAGAGGAGTGAGGAGAAATGCTGCTTGGCATTTCTCAAGCTATTTCATATTAAACAGGCCTAGGCTTAGGACTTTAAAGTTCTCTCAAAAAGGTCTGACTCGAGCAATGCACTTTATTTAAAGGAATGCATCCTAGGACGAGTCTTAACTCACTTAACTCTTTCCAGTCCTCCAAAGATAAAACTTGAAATTAACTCTGAGAAAACGGATGCCAATATTCCGTGTGGAATTAAATCCCTTCGCAAAAGAGAACTGTTGCCGCACCATTATTCCTCCAGGCAGCTGTTACGTTAAAGCAAAATATTTTAAAGGCAAAGTAACTCGTTTAGCAAACATAAGGACAGCCCAAATACACACTTTAACAAGTTAATGAATGAAGTCCTCAACATGTTCAGCAATTGTAAATACTGTTAAATCAACCTAAGACGTGTATTGCGATTTGGCTGAAGAAGAAAAATTAGCATTCAGTATCCTATGCTCCTGATAAAGACATGACCAGTATTCGAGAGGTAAAATGTAACAGTTCAACAACTCCCACATTCCAGGTGCCCCCAATACTATTAAATTCTAGAAATGTTCCCTAGCCCAATATTTTACAAGAATCCTACAGGTCATAAGTTTAAGGGGGGAGGGGAAGAGGGCGGAGGCTTAATCGGTATTTAAGAGTCACTGACTCATCGAATTAAGATTCGAGAGCAGTTTGCTGCAGGAGGTGCTCCCACACACCAATTTCCCAGGGAAATAGCTCTAAAAGCAGCAGAATGGATATTCAGGGTATGTTGATTGGTATGCTAAAATGTAAATGAACGGGCCAGGGGGGTCTTCCAGGCAACAGGGTGATTTCTATCCCGCCCCCATCCGTCAACACTGGGGGGATACAACAACCTCAGGGAGATACAGTTGCCATCCCACCCCAACACTCTAAACCTCCCCCAGAAGGAAACGAATGGATGCCGGGGGGAGGGGCGGAGAGGTTGCTGCCAAGAAATAAAATGGCTAAAATAATCTAGTGTTATCTCCAGAACAAGATGCACGGAACTCTGCAGGGCTGCGAGCTTTCAGGCACCTAAGTCCCCAGGGGTCTTGGCAAGCGCCAAGGAAATACTGGTGTTGGTGGCAGGTGGGAGGGGGCTAATAATAAAGACCCAGGCACTTACTCGTTGTCAGAAGTCGCCGTCTCCTCGCTCATCTTTCCCTCACCGTGATCCGATCGGGCGGCGGAGCAACAGCAGTCGGAGGAGCAGCACCGAGGGGCAGGCGGCGGCCGGGGGGGCGCGGGGGCAGTGGCTCAGGGGCCTCACCATGGTGGACGCCTCAGCCGGAACGGTGCCCCCCCCACCGGGAACCCCGGCCACCCCCGCAGGGGGGCGGCAGCAACCTCGGCCTTGGCGACCCCAGCCTCTCCCCCGCCTCACGCCCGACCGAGGGAACCGTGGGGCCGGGACGGTGGATGAGGAGGTAGAGGGGCACGGGCTGCGCTGGCTGAGCGGAGAGCTGCCGCTCCAAGCACTGGGGCGGAGCGCGGCGGGCGGCTAGAGCCCGGGAGCAGAGGCGGCGCTTCCCTCAGGGATGCGGCGACGAGGAAGGCGAGCTCCGTTCGGTGGGGGCCGGCGGCAGGGGGCCGAACCCAGGCTCCGGACGGCGGCGGCGCGGTCCTGCCGGAGCCCAGCCCACCATCTCCCGCCTCGCCGCCGGCTGCCCGCTGTCCCCGGCGGCGACCGGGGCGCTTCTCAGGAGCACGCAAAGTCGGGCGAGGGGCCTCACGGTGGCGGATTCCTCTAGACACGCTCCAGCCGGGACGTCTCCGGGAGGAGGGGGCGGTGGGGAGCGAGTGGGCCGGGACCGGCGAGCCACCGCCCCCACCCGGGTCGGAGAAGGGCAGGCGAGCCCGAGGGCAGGGTCCCGAGAAGCGGCGGAGCGTAAGGAGAACGGCCGCAACTCCCCTACCAGCCGCTGCCCACCAGTAGCTCAGCGGGCCAGCTCCTCACGCCCGCCAGAGGGGAACCGCGAGGGGGGCGGCGGAAGCGCTCACGCCGCGCGCTCCTTCCGCCGCCGTCGCTGCCCGAACCGGGGGCGCCCACGGGAGAAAGAGACGAAGTAGTCCCTGGCGACTTCTCCGGGCGGCCGGCTTCCCCCGGGGGCCTAGGCAGGCATAGAGTGGGGCTGCCGAGCGTGGTGCCCAGGCTGTGAGAGCGTGTGGTAGGAGAACTAAAAGCTGCGGCCTCCGGACGAATCACTGCAACTCGAAGTCGTCTGCAGCATAGCAAGTTTCAGGAAAGTAGTTCCCTCCTCCCTTCATTTCCCAAATCGTTGCCGAGCTCTGAGCGGGGAAAGGAGGAGGGAGGCGGAGGGATACTCTAGAACACGGTGCTCAATATGCGTGCGCGCGCTCCAAACTCTTGGCACGCTGCGATAGGGGGCGGGGGTGTGAGCTGCACGGGGAGCTGCTCGGGAGGTTGCATTGTTGCGGCGTGGTGCTCCCCGTTGTTCGCCGTGGAATTCCGGGTTGTTTGAGCAAAGAGGCTAGACTGACAGTGTGCTGAAAGAGGAAACTGCAGTCTACTCTGTTCTGCCGTGTATGTGTGTGTGTTTTCCTTGCAGAGCAAAGAATGGAACTGGCATGAGTTCATCTTTAGTTGGTGGGGGTTAGAGGGAGGGACTGTACAAAGAGAGCTCCGCCTGCTGTCCCTCTGATTGCACTGCTGCAGCCCCCTAGCTACATGGACAGTGGGAGTGTGTGTGTGTGTGTGCATGTACGTGTTAGAGACAGATAGAATTAGTTTTAGTACCTTGGATTCTTACCGCACAAGGAGCATGTTGTGCAGGGCATTCATCCCCGCAAGCTACAGTGGTTGTTAATGGAGAACGACTTCCATTGAAGCCCAGGGTAGGCGTGTTACGTGAATCTGGCGCAGCCTGAAGCACAGGAAATAACTCCTGCTGCGAGTGAGGTTGCATAACTATAGCGCAGAAGATGCCTCTGTAGCACGAACTGCTCTAAACGGAGGCGGAACGATTAGTGAATAGGCAGCTGTCACGTTTGCATTGTTAGAGGACAATATATGTATTCATCTCAAGCGGTTTTTACATAGAAACCTGCTGGGGTTTCGGGCAGGAGTGTAGGGTCCGCCGGACCGGAGGACTCAGAGCTACTGGCTCTGCAAATTCTATTATCTCTTCTCTGCCTAGAAAGCCAGCCTGTCCAGGATGTGGCCTGCGGGACTGAGTCCCAGGTTTCTGACGCACCTCCCTAGGTATCAATCTAGCTCTGTGCGCAGTGCTTTCATCTGCATTCCCAGACGTGTGCGACTAAGAATAAAGGTTGATGCTCCTGCCACCTTAAGGGGTAGATTCCTGAGCAAGAACAGTCAGAGAACCTCCGAAGCCAGCACTCGGCCACCCGTTTCCAGGAAGTTTAAGAATTGCTGTTCTCAGGAGTGCGTCCCCGTGCTTGTTAACTGTTTTTGTTTGTTGCACGTACTAGGTAATTAATAAATGTTTGAATAATAAGTAAAGGAGCGAAACCAGTCTGCCAAAAAATTTTAAAAACTCATCCCGTTGATTTCTGAAGAGTTTGTTTTGTTTTTTATGTAACTCTTGCTTCCTTCCTCCGCAGTAGCATTGCCCTTAGAGCGAGGAAGGGGCAATGTTGGTGACTGGAAGAGAGCAGGGGATCCAAGATAGTCAGGGGTTACCTTTGTGAACTCTTGACACTGCACTTTTTATCTTGTTCCTGGGAAGAACCTGTAACTGGGAGTAGTAGTGCCATCTGCCTCTCTTTCCAGTACTCCTGCTACTACTTTGGCTGTTCAGATATGAATCAAGTCCTATCAGTTACGTGTTCTAGACAAGTTACTTTAACTCTGTGCCTGTGTAGAATAGGAATAATGGTACCTAACTCCAAGAGCTTCTGTACTGATGAATGAGGTAATAATATACATACAGCCCTGAGAACAGTTGAAGAGCTCAGTAAGTCCTAGCTCTTAACAGACATAATAAACTCCATGACAAGGTGGTGGCAGTTGCTTGGAAGGTTAAATGTAAAGCATTTAGTAGCCTTGTTCATTCATTCAACAAATAACTACCAGTTTTCTTCTGTGTACCCCTACCAGTCTTGCTTAGACCCATGGCCTACCCCTGAGTGAGCCATCAAAAAATGATAGCTTTCAGAGTTATTATGATTAAGTAAGTGCAAGGAAAGCTGGGTCACTGGCAAAGACCTTTTCTTTTGAAGATTTACATCCATTTGAGGTTCAAGGGCATCAGGGAAATTATCAGTTACAGGCTTTGGGAGAAGATATGAAAACCATCTTGGCTATCACATGCAAGGCACTGTGCTGACCACTTTCACATACATTGCATACCCGAAGGGGCAAGATATGATCAACAGCCCAAATTAATGCTTTTTAGATTATTCCCAATCCCATGACCAAGACACAAACCATTCATTTTCTATGGTGTTCCCCCATATAATTCTCAGGACTTCTGTGCCTTTCTTTTTAAGGATGCATTTGTAGCTCTCTCCTCTCACCCAGTTGTTAAAGATCTTACCAACATTTTAGAAAATTGTCTTGGGCTGGCCAGAGCCCAGAGTCTTCTACTCCGAGACTATCAGAAATGGCTGTTCATTGAGGTTCAGAGGGCTTCTAGTCTTCTAGTCTGACTTTATCAGTAGCTGCCCTAAATTTGAGAGGCCTTACCTAGTCTATCCTCATGTCTGGACCTCAAGAGGTCTAAGAGATATAGCAACCAAATGGAATGTGTGAGACTTTATTTGGATCCTGATTTGAACAAATATTTCAAAATTTGAGATAATTGGGGAGTACTGGTGTGTGGTTGTGTTTTTTAAAGTCATCTTTCAGAATTATATAGTGAAATATTAACAGATAAAATGATATTGTATCTGAGATCTGCTTCAAAATAATCCACTGGGGTGAAGAGTGGGGTGAAGTGGGTAGGGATATACATGAAACAGGTTTGGTTATGGATTGATGATGAACACATTTAACTATTTTATATATATTTGGAATTTTCCATAACAAAAAGATTTTTTTGTCTTTGTAAGTACCCTGCAAATACTGCTTTAAATGCAGATTCCTTGCCCCATTGCAGACATTGTGATCAGCAGATCTATAATTGGGCTGACAAATCTGCTTTTTCACAAGTACACTAGTACTTGATCCTTCTTAGCCCTTCATGGTCTTCTCCTTTCTGTGGTTATATCAACTACTTGTGTCATCCCATCTCTGCACACATCCTGCACATTGAAACCTCTATCCCAGCAGAAGACAAAAAAAAAGGGTGGCCAAAGGTATATCATAAGCTAAGGTAGATACTAGTCAAGGCCAAGAAAAAGTGGATCCAATAAAGACTTGAAATGCAGTCTGAAAAGATGACTATAGATTACAGTTTCAACAGAAGTTGCAAGTCCATTCAGCTGGTCATGAGGCAGCAGGGCAAGGGGTACTTGTATTTGCTGGCTGTGCTTTTTCAGGTAGGTCTGTTGAAGGAAGCTGGGCACAACAGCTGGTGTTCACAGGTGCTCTCCGTACCATTTTCCAGAGTTAAGAATTCACCACAGCCACTTAATAAGCCTGTTCCATATGATGAATTATTCAAAGCATTCATGGCACAATTGCCAAGTAATTGCCAGTACAAGACATCATCAAAGCTAAGAAGATACAAGTGGGTTCTGGATTTCCATGTAGGTCACAAGGACAGAAAAGGTGGCTTGTCCTTATGGAGGCACTGGCAGGTGGCATGTACGGCTCCAATTCAAGGCTTTCAACCTCTTCACAGACCATTTGGCCCATAGTGACTGTATTTCCTAACTCAATTTGTCTTCTCGAATTATTTTATTTTTGTCAGTACTGTTTTACACTTGTACTGATAATTCTATCACCCTCTCTCCTTTTTTTTTTTGGCTTGTCAACCTTTTTATGAGTTTGTTTTCCCAGTTACATTTTAAATGGCTTGAAGACAGAGGCTGCATTTCATTTTTTTTTTATTAAGGTATGATTGATACACACTCTTATGAAGGTTTCACATGAAAATGCATTTCATATTTTTTCGGTGTTTTTTTTCTACAGTGGTTTGAAGTAATGGAGGCTTTTCAAGTGAAATATTATTCCAAAGCTTTATGCATGTATAAAAATGAAACTGTACTGACTGACACAGTGATGGGAGTCAGGAGTCTCCTCTGGCTTCCTATCATGACTTGACCCCTCTACAGTTCAGCATTTCACATATAATGTCCCTTGCGCTAAATATCCGCTCTCAGCGGATATTTGTGAACTTGAAAAGCCAAGAGAGGAGACAGCTATGCCAACATTCAGGTTTTGACAGTATATAAAACACATGTACACATTTCCATTTCTAAAATTACTCTTAATATTACCCTTTAGCAGATGTTATTAAAATTCTGTATTTTAAAATTGTAGTTAATGTGTGCCCAGATCAAAGGAGATTCTATTTTCATGCTGTATTTTGTTTAATGAATGATCTTTTCTTTTTTTTTTAGTGTAACCAGTCTCTTGGCTAATGAGATCTGCCTCTCAGAGGAATTACTAAATGGTAACCATGTTTCTAAATAGTTTCCTTGCCTCTGGCATGAGTCTGTTTCTCTATCACTAGGGTTTCCATGTTCTTCCAAACTAATACAAAGTATAAAGGATAAGTATGCTATTTTATTTTTCTCCCATAGGACTGCAATTGCTGGTCCGGTAGTATCCGGTGAGTGTGAAATCAGTTTACGTTTAATGCTATAACTGCCTTTTACAGGAAGTTTCCAGGAGATTACAACCAGTACAAGGGAAATGAGCAGTCTGCGATTTCCTTTATTTCCAGTATAATCTTAGCAGGGAGAATTCTTACCAGGCCCCACAGTACTAAATAAGGCAATCCTCCCTTACCAGCATTCTCCCCAATGGCTTTGGCATGCTCCTTTCTTGAAGGTTGTATCCCACTACAATAAATATAAAGGATTGAAATATCCATTACCTAAGATTTCCAAGGCCATGTGTATGCAGCAGAAACTCAGTACAAAAGAGTCTAAGCATTTCCTTGGATTTTAAATATGGGATTTGACTTCCATTTTTAGTGAGTAATAATTAGCCATTGTCCAGGACTATAAAATTTATGATGCCCTTCAGGAACTTAACCTTCCTAACAACCTTGCCCACTAGGTATTATTATCAACTCCAATTTACAGAGAGAATTAGGAACCGAAGATCGGAGAGGTTAAGTGACTTGCCAGAGGTCACATGTTAGTGAATATGTGGCTAGAGCTCAAACTCACATTTCCTCCCTCAACAGCCATGTGTGTGGAATGTGAGTGTGTGTGAGAAAGAGAGAGAGTTAATATTACATATAACTTCTCAAAGACGGGATCCTTGGT